ATGCATGCCCGTACGCATGTATGCGAGAGCAAGCGTATGTGTGTGTGTGTGTTGTGCGTGTGCGTGTGTGTGTGTGTACGTATGCGTGCCTGCATGCATGTAATGTAAGCAAGTAAGTAAGTATTTATGTATGTAGGTATTTTAGTATGTATGTACGCACGTATGCATGCATGCACGTATGTGTGCATGTATGTATGCATGCACGCATGTATGCATAAATGCATGTACGCACCTATGTATGGCTGTATGCATGTATGTACGTATGAAGGAACACCAGTCGGCATGTAAGCAGTAGCTGGGTGTTGTATGGGTGCATGTTTTCCTGTAAGCATCTATGTGTAATCACATTACTCCGGCTGTCTGTCCAATATCTGCCATATAACCAGCTGTGCACGTACAAGACACAACATAGCCGGCCCTATGGCACAACAACAACAACAAAACTCAACATACTCCGTAAACAGAGACGGGAGCAAACAACATCAAGCCTGTTGCAATACCATGCACTCCAATGCACATGTTGTCTCACCATGTTCGGCACTACTGCAGCGAAACAAGTATAAAGTTGCATGACACCGACGACGGCTTTGAAGCTCCAACAAAAAGAGCAAGCCAATGCTGCAATCGCGAGCTCCTGCCTCTGTGCGCGCAAACCCGCTGGAGCCATCCAGGCTGACCTTGAAGGGAAGAAACGTTTGCACGAACACAGGATCTTGTCACGGAGTGCTTCAAAACCTGCTAGCGATAGAACACGACGAAGCCTTCCTATGAAATTGCCGATTGCTGTCAGCGTTTCGTTTCAACTCAGTGCTCACGCTTTGCACAAACCGAAGCGTGTGGAAGAAAACTGATGAAGCCAAATAGGATCAGGGTTGTAGCAGCTGCATGACAAGGGTGCGCTAAAACTTACAGCGCCCACCGGGTGGCGACTTGTGACTGCTGCTTCATCAATTTGATCGCGCTGCATAGGTACGGCAAAAAAAGGCAAGGACACACAAGGCTGCAGAAAGTTAGAGACGATTCAACATCGGGCGGCAAAATTGACTCATTGCACTCAGGTTTGTCTGCGATGCTACAACCTTTGCTCGACTGCGAATCCAAGCATATTTTGAGTGCAATGTATGGCATCTACCAGTGGCCCAATACCGCCGTTGGACATCCCAAACAGAGAAATGGACAAACACGGCTTTGCGCATCAAGAGGATCATGGGTGTTACAACCTCGATGCACTGCAGAGAACAACTGAGAATCTGTTAAAAGCTGGCATCCACAATTGGATGCCCTCAGTACGCAGCATCTGAAAAAAGGTCTGTCACGAAGGACTCGAGCTCCTGGTCTGCTAATGTTGAAACGACTACAGAGATGCAGTGCGCAGGAACAGCAAGTCGAACTTGACTCGATCAGCAGACTGTCTGGGATCGGTTTCTGGTTGTGATTACCAGCTTGAGGGCTCAAACTCGACTTGTGCCGGATGTGGACATCTTGGATTAGGGGCCCAAAAAAGCACTTAAGCAACAACAAATAGGGATATCCCATATAAACCCCTTGTAATGAAGCGCAATAAGGTAGGGATATCCTGTCCTTATAAAATGCTTATGCTTATGTCGTTTTGGGGTTCCTAATGGATGAGCTTCATTTCAAGCATATGCTCCAGTTTACAGCTCCGGAGAAGACGGTTACAAAAACCCCGTCCTCTTTTAAGGAAACATGTTTCATGAAGACCATGCGGACTCAGGCTGCCGCTCAAATCTCGAAGAAAGGTTAAAGTAACTGGGATTGGGATAGCAACTGTATTGTCGACTTGGCTCGCGAAAGCCACCCAAACCCTCACTCCTGGCGTTTCGAATTGGAGTCTTTGGAGGTCCCGTTGAAGCACACCCAGGCCTGGCAAGCATGTTCGGCTCTAAGCTGCATAGCACTTCGTACGCCTAGGTGTACACGGCAGCATCCAAAGGCCGAGCGAGCCGGGACCGGCCGGTTCGAGGTCACAGCTTCTTGAGAAGCTCATCTCCGTCAAAATGTATCCCATCTATTCCACCCTTCGGGAGTAAGGTCTAAACTTCGATCAGCACAGGCCGGCTAGAGGATCCCTACAACACCCAATGACTCGGATGCGCTTCCAATTCGATAGTTGCGAACCCCATCCCTTAACTACAGTACCACAGGTCCGTCAAGGGCCAATGCAGTCCAATATGCAGAAACAGCTCTTTCCGGCGTAGCATTGCGCTGTAGTGTGAGGTGTCACGGTGTTGTCTAACAAGTCATTTTCAAATTTTTAGTCGGAAACCTGTCGTCCGCCCCACCCCACCCCAACCCCACCCCCAACCGCCGCCACCACCGCCGCCGCCACCTACCTACCTACCTACCTACCTACCTACCTACCTACCGACCGACCTACCGACCGACCGACCGACCGACCGACCGACCGACCGACGGACCGACCTACATACCTAGCTACCTACCCATTGCCGCTGCATACATCACATTTATCCATCCCATCTCTCCCCATATCTGTGT